AAAAATAGTGATGGTGAAAACTGAGACAAAAAGATTGGTTATTCCAGACGTGAAATCGGATTCTCAATTTTTATCGTGAGAATATCGCTATTTGCCACACTTTCCTTTTAATTCAGTTATTATTGTTTAGCAATGGCGTATGCTGCTCTGGCACATCTTAACGCAGTTGTTGGCCTATACACATCACTATTTCCAACAATAATTTATGTGATATTTGGTACTTCGAGGCACATTACACTCGGTAATGAAAATTTCATGAGAGATTAGAACAGACATTTATGTTTTCATTGGTCTGAGAATGACATGTTTAATCTCCTGCCGAGCAATTTTATCGGAAAAATAGGAATTAGCTCAAATTTCACAGAATTGAAGATGTCATTAGAGAGCCGAATCGGAAGACCGCATTGCGGTAAAGCAATGATGTAGGGGTGCGAAACGTAGTCACTGTTGAAAGCTAAAAAGCGAGTGCTGTCTGTGACCGAGAGAGCGATGGAGCGAAGGATGCTTAAATGCGCAGTCATACTCTCCAGGATGATATTTCTGTGGCAGTCAGAGGATTTCGCAAATCAGTTACTGGTTCCAGCAAGAAAGTAAACAACCGCTCGGATAGAATCCAAAAGGGCACAGCACATATATCGAATAGGCAGTGGGCAATGATTAGAGAAATGCAGCCCAGGGCTGAAAAGCCTGGCACAGTTGTGCACCACAATCATTTTATCATCAGTAATTTTGATATTGAAAGAAACTGAAATAAAGTTTCCAGCTATCTCGCGGAAAATGAAAAAGTGATTTTCTGAGAGATTCTTGGCTGTGCTACAATTTTCAATCCATCTTTTGCTACTGCGGGTTTAATTGCAGGAATGTTTGCGGTAGCAGCACTGATGACAGGAAGTGCACTGGAAAGGCGAATGGAAGTGGTACTGGGTAAGAGCACAGACTTGAGCATAGAAGCTGAGCAAGCGAAAAACGCTGAATTGACTATCCGGCTAGTCTCTACGTTAACCTTCACTA